TGTGTGTGTGTGTGTGTGTGTGTGTGTAGGACAGTATGTACAGTGCCCCTGATAGACTATATAGATGGGAATGAGTACACTATGGAACCCCAGCAGGGTGGAGATGAGGATGGCCTGGCTAGAGGAGCATGGGACTGGAGCCTACTCTGGAAGAGAGTCCCACTTAGCCAGAGAGAGAGGGACAATCGAGAGCATACCACCCAACCCTACCGGTACACGATCCTGAGCCAACATTCTAACAGTCTTCCCTGTTTTGTTTGTGTCTCCCATCCCTCCATCCCACCTGTCCTCTGCTGTGTTTCACTCTGTCTCGGTCTCTGACACCCTTCCCATGTCTTTGTGTCTCGCTGGCACTGCTGTCTGTATTTGCCTGTTTTTTCCCCATCTTGTACACCTCCCCCCATGTATCTTGTATGCATGGCCCCACCCCCATTCCGCCAGAACGGTGTGCACGGTGCCTCTGGTTGACTCCATCCATGGCCAGAAGTTCACCATCGAGGCCCAGGGTGGCGGGGACAAGGATGGCTTTGCTAGAGGAGCCTGGGATTGGAGCATGCTCTGGAAGCGAGTTCCTCTGGGAGAGAAAGAACATGCACTCAGAAAAACTCAGACTGAGCCATATAGGTACAAAAAACCGGTGCCTCCTGACTAATGGCAGTGTCAATACCAACGACAAACAGCTTATCTTGACAAGGGCTAGCAACAATAACTTTCAGACCTCTACTGCATTACTAACGTGTAGCTGACCCTACACCAACTCATGTCAGCACAACTGCCTCAAAATCAATCTCAAAAACAAAAATACAATGACCGGGGCATACAAATGGCTGATGTTTAGTACACACACTTAGTACATATAAATTAGGAAAACTTGAAATATAACAAATACACATTGATGCTAACCTTTGGTGCATTCTACAAGTAACCAACTAACCCATACCCATCTTCCCCGATGGGGGTTACAACTCTTCTGTTCATTGGCTGTTTGTGGTCTAATGTCTCGACTACTGGGAATTATTTGGTATTTCACCATGATGTGTTGTGGGCCCTGTCTCTTTATTTAATGTGAATTATTCTCATACTTCATCTCTCGTCTTACTCGGTGATGGCTTTGGTGTAGTTAAGGCCAATTTAGCAAATCCCTTCTGTTGTGGAAGTTTTTTGGAAGCTGGTGAAAGGAGAACTCAGGCAGCAGCTGATGTCTTATGCAGAAGATTTGAATGTCGACTTGATGCATCAAGGAGACCAGAAGGTGAAACAATATAACAACACTAACAATACTAACATGTGAAACTGTCACCCCCAAGTCTGAATATGTCTCCTGTAGCATCCCCAAATATCTTCCTCTACTTGCGTCACCCATTCTAACAGCACATCCATGAATGGCTAGAATTGCTGTCACTCTCTGTTACATGTTGGTGTTTGCATCATATTGGATAGTTAAGCCTATAATAAAAACACATAGTTAGATACTGTATGCAAGTCCCTAAGCGTAGACACTACAATGTACTGTTGGATTACCCTTTATCTATAACCTGACTTTGGGTAGTGCTTGGAGAGAGAAGGGAGTATGTGTGGATAGTTAAAAAAAAAAAAAGATTTCTTTTTGGGGGGTCCAACTTGAAGGGCTATGACTTCAGTGGAAAATTCGTCTGAATCTAAAAGCTGTGGGACTGATGAGAGAAGTTGGGACAGGTCTAATGCGGAACTTCTGGTGTGAATGGGGCTTGGACTGGGGCACCATCAACCCCACCTTCCCCAAATCACCTTTTCATCCATCAAGTTTTGCTGTCAGTCTTTTCTTCCCTCTGATTTGCTTCCACTAATTTCTTGTTTTGCTTGATTCTCTGTCATTCTGCTCTTGTTTTTTGTGTTGTCATTGTTATTAATACACTGATACTGCTTTAACTAATGTTAGACAGAAAATAATTCAGACCAAGCTAAATAAAGAAGATAATGTAATTATTTGATACAGAACCTGGTAAACCGAGTAGCCTTGTCACGCTGATGCACGTATATGAATATGTCTGTCTGTGGATGTGTGTGTCTCTCTATATACCCACAGGTCTCCAGCTATGGCAGGTGGTCTCTTTGCTATAGAGAGAGACTTCTTCTTCGAGCTGGGTCTATATGATCCAGGATTGCAGATATGGGGAGGAGAGAATTTTGAAATATCATACAAGGTAAACAGTCCGGTTAAACCACAGAATTTCTAAACACAGATCATTTCAAGTCTTCAGAGGAATGTTCTCTGTTTCTGAATATTTCTGTAGATCTGGCAGTGTGGGGGCCAGCTGCTCTTTGTACCATGTTCTCGTGTCGGACATATCTACAGACTTCAAGGATGGCAAGGCAACCCCCCACCTGCACACGTTGGATCCTCACCCACTCTGAAGGTAGAATTGCTTTGTGTAGATTCAAGACTAAAAGTAAAAAAGACAAATATTCTATTGCTTTTTATTTGTAAGGCTATGTTTGAGCATGGTTCTCTGCTCTCTCTCTCAATTTCCCACTTACTGTCCTATCAATCAAAAATGACCGAAACCATAAGTGCCCTCATTTATTCATCTGCTCACCGGTATTAGACCTTTTTAGATATTTAGATGTTCTGGATCTGATCAGATGTTGTTGCATGTTGTCTGTTCCTCTCAATACTTACTGTATATTATAAAAGCACATCTGTGTGTGTGTACAGAACTATGTTCGTGTGGTGGAGGTATGGTGGGATGAATATAAGGACTACTTCTACGCCAGTCGTCCTGAAACTCTCACTCTAGCCTACGGAGACATCAGTGAGCTTAAACGCTTCAGGTATAACATATTACTACCAAACAACATATACCTTTTATGTATTTCTCATGGATATTCTGACTTAATTGTCTCCATTTTTTTGTATTACTTGATCACACTCTTCTTCATCTCTAAATCTCTCACTTTACTCCCACTTCCTCACCTAAAGGCCCCCTTGTACATCATGTACAGGTAGCTGCTTTCACACATGTACTGCAACCTTGAGCTGTTCCAGACATTACCCAGAGGAGCTGTATGTGTGAATGCAAATGTCTGAATCAGTTGAACAGAGTATTAAACAGATGAATGGCTGTCACTCAGAAGCGGAGGGTCTGTGCTCCGACCCCTGGCTTACCCAGTCTGCGTGCCAAAGTGTCCTTGGGCAAGATATTGAACCCCAAACTCCCTTTGACAGCTGTGCCTGCAGTGTGAGAATAATGTTGGATAAAAAAGACGCTGTGAATAGAAGCACTTAATGATTGTCACTTGTAGTGTTGATTTATCAATAAGACTTGAAAAGTCCTACATAAATACAGGTCATTACCATTTACGTTACTCTGCCTGCTCCTCAGTGATTGAGTCAATAGAGCAAGTAATTGAGTGGTGTCTGTTGATGACATTTCTATCCTTTCTGCACGCTTAACCAAGCTGGGAGTCACTCAGGCACCTTGTGTTGATCAGTATACTTTGCACCTAACAAGAAATTTTGTATGGCTACAATATAAGTACTGTTAGTACACTGTAAAGAGGGCGTCTTTAATGGGTAACAAAACTGTCAGTATTGGATGTTTCTGAAAAAGAGAGAATGAAACACATGCTATTATTATTATTGTTTTTTATGTCCGTGTGGTGGAGGTATGGTGACATTATTGTATTTAAGATGTTAGCCTTAAATTCAACTTTTGACTCACTCAAGATAATTTTTCGTTAATGTGAGATGAACTGCCCTTAAGAGCTTTTCTGTTCTTGATGACCACTCAAAGATCTTCACACATTCATACAGTGCTTCTCTGTGCAGCACTTTTTCTACCACACATCACTTTCACTTTGGCAAAGCTGTCAGGGGTTCAGTATTTTACCAAAGGACACTTGAGACTGGGGTTGAACATCCTTCCTTTACTTTAATTGTTATTAAAAAAAAAAAAAAAAAATCATTATTTTGTATGAATTGTTTGTTGGCTGAACCTTTTGATAGGGAGGAACATCGATGCAAGAGCTTCAAATGGTTCATGGAGGAAATAGCGTACGATATTCCACAGCACTACCCTCTGCCTCCTAAAAATGTAGAATGGGGGGAGGTAGGTACACACTCGCACACATATAGATACTGTCTCTGTCATGGTTTTTATGGAACGTTTAATCACATTGTGTGTGTGTGTGTGTGTAGATTCGAGGTTTCGAGACAAGCTACTGTATTGACAGTATGGGACACACTAATGGAGGAAATGTGGAAATAGGACCGTGCCACAGAATGGGGGGTAACCAGGTAATCAAACAATTAATGTGATGTGTTGCTTTGTCAGCTTGCGGTCAAGTTTTCGAGATGCAGGTTTTACCTGCCATTTAGTGTTTCACACTGGAGTCTGTGATTCTTTAATATGCGTGTGTCTTCTGTAGTTGTTCCGTATCAATGAAGCCAACCAGCTGATGCAGTATGACCAGTGCCTGACCAGAGGAGCAGATAATTTAGCAGTCATTATCACACACTGTGACCAGAACCAAAACACTGAGTGGAAGTTCTTCAAGGTGAACACACACACACACACACACACACACACACACACAGGTTTATGGGGACATTAATTAGTCCTAAATTGTAAAACTCCTCCACATTGACAATTATTTGGTCTGAAACTTGTCCTTAGAGGTAGCCTGTGACATACACACACTTATTCAAAAGATGAGAGCACAATGATTCACTGTGGAAAATGAATAAGAGCACTGTTTTCTCCCCATCTATCCAGGATCTCCATCGGTTCACTCATGTACCAACAGGTAAATATCTGCACTATTATTATTTTTTTACACAAAACACTGTTTTCATATGTTTTTTTATTATCAACATTTTACCAGTGGAAGGAGGATTAAGCTGCTATAGTACTGTTGCCCTTTAGTTGTACAGGAAGAGAAAATATCTCAGACTTAGATGCTAAAAATACTCTGGTTATGTCAGAAGTCTCCTTTACTACTCACTGTATAAGTCACTGTATTGAGATGACTGTATATTGAGCTAATTGGTAAAAATGAAAAAAACACCTTGGACTTGGGTTATTCTCTCTGCACCAGTAATAAACTCATTGTTGCTACACAATTTAAAACATACCATATCAATATTGGTCGGTACATAATATACCTATACCAATTTTTGACTTTTAGTCTCATATTCTAGTTGATCATTCTCTGAACTGTTATAAGGATTTTTATTTATTTCACAGTTATGCTTTGGAAGTTTTGGAAGCACACTGAATTACCTTGTTTAAATGTGCAATACAAATTGTGATGTGCAGTGAGACTACACCCCCTCCTGTACAAACTTAAGCATGGCACAGTTTCAGTACACGTTCTCATTTAGTCTGTCGGCCGTTTGTCATTCAGCGAGAGAGCAATCCATGATGGTAATTATTACTTAGTTAGTACTGACCAAAGATTGTAAGCTACTTTTCAAAATGCATTGTGGGATACATCACAAAATGGCAAACTTAATATATAACAGTGGGTGATTTAGCCTATGCTAATGATTTTAAAATGAGATCAATGAATAGTCAACACAGGGATAAAGGATATAAACCTTGGAACATGTATTTTAAATGTTATGGCACACAAAGCATCGTGCATGCGTTTACACCTGTAATGTCATGTGATCGTGTTTTATCTGTAGTTTGATCACACAAAATACATTTTAACGCAGGTGTAAATTCAGTAAGTGTAGCTGCTTCAAACATCAGGGGTTATAGTTGCCGTGTTTGACAGGTAACTGTTAATACTGAAACAAGCATCAGAGCTCCACTCTTACTTTAGCTAAAAGTAGATACATATAAACGTTCTTATCTGAGGGCCCCTAAATACATCCATTTTTGACCACAGCTCCCCCTACTGGATACAGGAATCCACGTGGATCAAATATACCTCTTGTTGCTGGGGTGTTCTAGTAATATTCATCTGTATTCTCCTAACAGGGAAGTGTCTCGACCGCTCCGACCTGCTCCACAAAGTGTTCATATCAGACTGTGACAACAGTAAAACCACTCAGAAATGGGAAATGAACAATATAGTGGCCGTATGAGAACTGCACAACCTGACCTACACATGGATGACCACTGGGAGCTTGGAGAGACCTGTATGAGGAGATACACACACACACACACACACACACACACATACACATACACATACAAAGACAAATTAACCCATGCCAAGAAACACATCCATATTGTACATTTACAGGTACTGTCCTTCTGAAGAGAAGATGTTGTTGTTATGAGCCAGTCATTGTCAGCGTACCTCCACCATGATGGAGTCAAATTGGTCACAGTTAGAGATACTGAGTATCTGCAATTAACTGCTACAGCCCAAATCCACTGGCATCAGCCTAGTCCTGCCTCCATCAAACTTTAGTCCTTGTATTCAACTCTAACACAAACACAGACACTCCAGGTGGCAGATGAAGTGGCTGATGTGGAGGCTGAAGCTCCTGGTCCTCAGAAAGACAAACACTGAACTAGAAACGTGTTGGCTCCATCTCTGTCTGTTCTCTTTGGCTCTCAGGTCTTTTCTAAACCACTACATTGAGTATATGAAGTGACTCACATATATTCTAAATATTCAACAGTCGTGCTCTAATTCGGCTTTTTCAATCAACCAAACTAAGTAGCTCACTTCCCAAAGATGGTAACATCATCAGTGTGTCTAACCAGGTGTCTGTACACACTGGCGGCTGTCTGCAGGTCAGGTTCAGGTGAGCTTTAGGCTGGAATAGTATTTATTGGGAATATCAAAGTAAATTTGGGTGAGGGAAAGGAAACTAGCAGCCAGATCCATATTTTTGAAAATGTATCATTTGAATTTTGAATGTGTCGCTGATGTCATGTGGATGTTTGTATTACATAAGCTGTGAAAACTGGTCTGTTCAGTCAGCTGCTTCTTGTAGAGCCATCAGGCCAGTTTCAGTTGAACTACATCAGCCTTCATCTGAGGCCACAGCAAGTGGAGAGGATGTCCGCACTTAACAGACGTGGTATCAAACTGCACGCACATGCTGAACAGTTCCTGTAGCTTTAGGCCTGATTCATACCTGGTGTTAACATGCACGTCCAGTAATCTGATCACAAGTGAACAGCTCTGACACCCTCTGTTAGAATGTGTCTTTACATGTGACCACTTGGGATTGGATCTCAACAAGCAATGCTAAACAAGCATGTACATTTGTATTCACAAAAACAAAATGTGTTGTTGGCTGCCGACATCTCTTCTGATGGACATTTAATGAAGAATAGATCAAAACCGTACAGCCTGACTTGATTCCCCGTTGTGTTCCAGACAAATCAAGTCACCCAAGATATTAGATACTCTTGTGATGTAATTTCTGGGTGTTTAAACGTCATGGACAAGGCCAGCTTACATGATTGTGAGTTGTATTCGTTTGAGAATGAGTATGTAAACTTAATGGTTAGCTGAGTAGGTTGTCCTTCAAACTGATAAACGAATGTGGCCACACGTGTCTCAGCATCTCTGAATGTGGTCTGACTGAGCCGATCTCAATTGTGTCATCTATTCGCCTCGAGGGTGTTCACACTTTAACTTAGAGCTGTCCACTTGTGATCAAATCACCCAGGACATGCACTCACCAATGTATGAGAGACATTCTTGGCTGCCCTTATCAAAGTACAACTTCTAGCTTGAAGCTATACAGTAATCTGACATAATGATTCAGCACATGGTATCAACACTGTCCAGGACACAAGTCAAATTACAAAGATGAAAACAAAGTGATGCTAATGTCCTCCTGCATGAAGCTTCACGCAGTGTATGCTTCCTTAAACCACCTGAAGGTCAATTCTCTCTGTGCCCTGTCTGAACCAGCAGTCCTCCATCCCTCAGTGAGAATGCTTTCTGATGCACCCTGAGTGAAACAAACTCATACACTGTATTTGTTTAGTAAAACGTGATTGGTTGCCATTTACTTGTGTTGATTTCTATTGGCTTGAATGACTTTACGGACACAGATGATTTAGAAGAGAGCGAAGTGATCTGACTGACTGAGGACCCAGGACCTTACTGACAGTCTTGAGGAATTCAGTAGCTGACCCATTGACTGTGACTTAGTAATTGCCTGTCTAAAAAGGAGAAAAAAGCAGAGGTGTTTGGTTGGGGAATGAAGTAATTGAGAAATGCACAACTTATGGTGGGGAAAAAACAAAATGAAAGAAATTTGACTGCTTTTTTTTGGTTGTTTTGCTTTCGCAAGGGAAGAGGGTTTGGTGTATGGATCATCATGTATGCAATGTTTTGTACAATGTAAATAGATTTCTTTCTAAAGACGATCAGGATGCATTTTGTGAAGGGCCTTGAATGATGTTGTAAATATCTAACTTATAGCAGAGATTTAATAATATGGGCTAAACAGTGGGTGGTGGAGGAAATAAAAGAGCTGATTTGTACTACGACCACTGCATTCTGTTTTTGTTTGATTTCAGGGAAACAAGTGTCTGCCCCTTTAGATGGTGCTGGAGTCGGGTCATGTTGGACCCAGGAAAATGTAAATCTATAATCTAAATCCTATAAAGTAGCGCTGGTAGTCTCGTTTTTTTTTTATTATTATTTTTCCATGGCCCTTCTCTTCGCAGGTTTCTTACTCAGGTCAGATTGATTATGAAAAGAAGAGTAGAATAGAAAGTAGAATTTCTCAGCCTCCACTCAGTGATTGTTTGTTAAAAGACATCGGGAGCAGAATATACGGCATTTACCTTTAAATTAAAATGGAAATATGTCTTATGAACACAAACATTTAAAATGAATAACTGCAGAACTAGTTCAACTACAAACAATTTGTGCAGATTCTATGATTTGCATCACGGTAATATATCAGAAACACCTTTCATTCCACAACTGCGGCAACAAAAGACCTAGAGTTGGAATTTCTATAAAGGTATTTTAATTTGTGTTTGCTATGTTAGCGTTTCTTCTAATTCCTGCTTGGATTTATGTTAGACGAGACAGTGGCTGTGATTTTAAAACCACTCCACTTAAGGACTATAGATTTATATATTTTAAAAAAGTGATTTACTTTGAGCTGCAAAAACAAACTTATTTTTTTAGTTTTTTTTAGGATTAATTAAGTGCAGAACATTTCTCTACAACTGAGCTGGACAGAAAAAAAAAGACATAACATGGACATCCGTTTACATCATCCGCTCTGTGATTGGCCGAAGTGACCGTCGTGCTCGCTCCCCATTGGTTTAGAACGGTGAAAACAGATGAGGCAACCCGGAAGTCGAAGTGGGTTGTTGTGCTGTGTGAAGACAGACGGAGAAGTGTCGAGGAGTCCTGCAGGATCACAGCGGGACATGGAGCGCCTCACTGCGGCTCTGGTACAGCTGCTGATGCTGGGACTCGTTCACAGCTGGAATGACGGTAGGTTCCTCTCCTCCTCTGCCTCAGGGGTACTCTATGGTGGTACTCTATGGTGGAACACCAGCCGCCATGTTTACACAAGTTCCGAACACTTCCTCACACCTGGATCAGCAGACATCGGCACAGGGCCGAGCAGATGATGAGCGAATGATCATTTCTGGATGAACTATCCCTTTAAGTATATAAAGGCTTAATCAACTGTTATTAACTGTGTTAACTAATGCTTAATACGTTGTCTGCAAATACTCACTGATCAGTTCACTTCCGGGCTGCCAGGGTTGTTGGTCTCTGTTTAATGTGAGACACTACAGAGTTAGTCATGTAAATACAATTTACAGAAATACATTTCCTCTTTATCAACCTGAACATCGGATAAAACCAGTTAAAGAATGGTGTTTCATTTTGTCTTTGACACGTCGTATCTAAAGGTTTTTACTTTGGGGGAGTTTTTATTTCCATAAAAAGGCTGTGAATGATACATGAGCAAACCCCTTCTGTAAAACACCTGAACATATGAGACTTTACACTACACAGGGTGGTTAATGCATGTTACACAAATAACGAGCAATGACTTGAACAAACAGACATTATAATGCTATGAAATCCACAGACACAAACAAAAGGACTTTTTTTTCCCACTTGTCTGGAAGAAAGAATGTTATTGAATCAAAACTTCTCCTTTATTATCACCTGGAATTTGTTCTGTGTCGTGGTCTTCAGTGTCCAGTTTGATCATCCTCTGGAGAAGGGTCTCAGAAAGTGTTCATTCTCTTTATTACTGTGCACGTTTTTCCCCTGACTGCAGACAGCGTGCTGCTGCGGGACGTCCAGGTGTTGACTCTGTACAAGGGTCGCTACACCCGAGCCCAGCGCTCCAGGCCCATCCCTCAGCTCCAGTGTGTTGGTGGCTCAGCAGGCTGCCATGCCTTCGTCCCGGACGTGGTCCAGTGTCAGAACAGAGGCTGGGATGGAGTGGATGTCCAGGTCAGGACATAGTGTAACATCTGTTCATTCATCTGCAGATTATTTTCTAGATGATTAATTGATCGGCTATACTCTAAAGTCCGAAAAAAGACCATCTCATCATCTCAAATCAAAGCTGCTGTTTTCATCTTATCCAACCAACAGTCTGAAACCCAAACATCTTCATAGTACCATCACAGAAGAGGAAGAACAACCACAACCTGAAATGTTTCTGTTTTTTAAAGGTGTCTTTGAATCAAGTATTACAATAGTTCTTAATTTATTTTCTGTAATCAATGAATGAATCCGGCCATACTGGTTACATTATTGATCATGAAGCTGTTCAGATTGTCAAACTTTGGGGACATTTTACCTGGTAAGTAGGTAAAGGTCATGCACCCTGAACAACATTTACTTCTTGTGGATGTAGAAAATAAAACATCAGGCCATAGAGAACAGATTTTTGGCTGTTCTCTGAAGAGGTGCTACTTCCTTGATGTGTTTTGAATGACGTGGTCTGTGATTTTAACCCCTGCTCTCTGCCACAGTGGGAGTGTAAGACTGATATGGACCATGCATACCGGTTTGGTCGCATCGAGGTGAGCTGTGAGGGCTACAGCCACCCTGATGATGCCTACATACTAAAGGGCTCCTGTGGGCTGGAGTACTCACTGGAACTTACTCAGGAGGGCCAAAGGAAGACTCAAGGCAGCCGGGGCTCTAACAGTGGATTCAATGGGTTTGGAGGTGGGAAGATTGAGATGTTAGATTGACGGGGCTTCATCTTCATTCATTGAAAATTTTTTAAATTAATTTTTCAATTTGTTTGTCTCAGGTCTCGGGGGCTTTGCCTCCAGTTTCTTCAGTGGTTTCTCAGGAAACAAGGAGCAGCCTCAGCAGCACAGCCATCAGAGCTCCCACCCCTCTCACAGCGAAGGCTCCGGAGGCTTGCTGGTGGTTGCTGTGCTTCTGCTCTTAGCCTACGGCATCTACAAGTTGTTCCTCAGTGGGAACACGGCGCAGTGGGGGCAGGACGGAGGGCAGGCTGGGTACCCCAGGGATAATCACCATGACTCCACTGCAGGACCACCACCCCCAGGATTTAAGCCTGACTTCACAGGTGCTGTATGCAGAGGGATGTAGTGTGAATAGAGCAATAGTTTGTCTGGGTTGTGCTACAGATTGAATAGAAATGTGTGTGGTCCTGTTGTGGAGGACAGGGTGGTCATATTATTTTATCTTGTACAACGAGATTAGAGCTACTTTGCTGAAATCTAGATTCTTTTCTTTCTGTTCAGGCTATACCGGGGCCAACCCAGGATACGGTTTTCATAATGACTACACTCACAGACAACAGTTCCCAGGTGGCCGAGCTTCTACCGGCACAGGTGGAGGCTTCTGGACTGGAATGGGGACAGGAGGTGTCCTGGGATATCTTTTTGGTCGTCAGAGGTTAGTAATGAGATGGAGAGAGAGCTGACAGCACATCGTTCCTCTTCCACTTCACTCAGAGCCTCACTTGTGTGTGTTTATGTTCGTTTTACAGAAACCAGCCGCACAACTACAACTACTCCAACTACACTGACAGCAGACCTCCTCCCACACACGCCTCCTCCTCTGGGACACGCACTGCTTCAGGTGTGTTTGCCTGTCAGAGAACTGGACCACACACACATACACATACAAAGCAAAAATGCAAATGTAGTAAAAGGGAAAAACTGAAATATCACATGAACAGTGACACTTTAGACACAAGTTTAGCTCAGGTTCCTCCTAATTCTCTTGATCATCTCTGAGATGTTTCTACATCTTCTCCATCTTTGGTTAAATCTTTTGATTGGAAGTGATTCTGAATGACAGACATTCAGCATTAAGCATAGCATTTGCTCTAGTTATATCTTTAATCTATTGGAGACTCAAATCGCTATGGTGGAACCATATTGTTGTCAAAAACAAAAAAGATAATGGCTCCTCTTTTTCATCCTGATCCTGAAGTTTTGTGTCTGTCACGTGTTAGAAACATAATCAAAACACTTGTGAGTTCTTTGCACAATATTCTGCTATATTCTCACATGGGCTCAGTCCGATATTCCCTGGAGTTTTAACTAGGAGGCTGGTAGGAAAAACAATTGCAATTATGAGACAAGTCCTCCATGTATTACCTCATGGTCTCAGTAGCATCTAGAGAGCTGCTGTGGATCAGCCTGACTGACTAACGTCTTTGATTGTTTGTCAGGATTCGGAGGAACCAAGAGAAGATAGTAGCTGTGGAAGTGAAGAGATTCTCTACAGTGGATGGCACAGACACAATTTTAAAGTGGAGCGCTCTCTGTGATGTAGTGTAGATATTATTTTGGGAATTATTTTGAGGAAATGATGTGATATTTTGGTAAGTAATAAATAATTGTTTGGATCCTGTTGTTTTTACTTTTCTTCCCACAGATTAAAAGCACTCACTATAGGTTTGCTGGCCTTTAACTTGTTATCATCTTGTGAGTGGAGCAGAGTAAAGAGCAGCTCTCTGTCTATGATTCTCACTTTTGTCTCTAGTTTTATTTGGTGTTGTCTAACACCAACTTAAAATTCAGTGTGTAAGATTTAGGTGAAAGGGATCGATCGGCAGAAATTGAATATAAAGTAATCCAAGTGATGTTTTCACTGTGAATCATCAGTGTGAGGATCTAAATTGTATGAATTGTTGTTTTCTTTATCCTAAAATGAGCGCTTTATATTTAAATACTTTATATTAACATCACTATGGAGGTCGCCATGGTTTTTACAATACCTTTTTGAGTTTTTCTGAAAACTGCCACAGGTTCTCTCATGTTTGGAAGAGGAGGGTGAGTTGAGGGGTATTCATCTGCAACATGCAACTTCACCACTAGATGTCAGTAAATGAAACACCCGGAACCTTAAACAGTGAGTGGCTTGTTGAGAGCTGCAACTTGTTCCACCAAATCTGGGATATATTGAACTTTGTTGTGCAGGCCAGTGATCACTGGAGCAAGGTCCACATCTTCGAAAACACATTTACCTACTTTTTTTAAGTTCAAAAAACAACTTTTCATGTTGATCAGACATGTGCTCACCAACCAGCTAAATTGACTGTAGAGTTAGATAAACAGTCACATGGATAAATAATTATTTTAAAAAATAAAACGGTACATGCATGCATTTAAAATAATTATGCATAAAACAGAGAAAAGAAAGAGGAGGGTTCTTATTGCCTATTGAAAATGTCACTACATTTGGACGATGAATTTGGTTTTATTACATTGTTGTGTCAAAGAGCTGGAGTTATAGAGTTAAAGATATATATTCTTTAAATTCACCTAATTAGGGCCCGAACGCTGTGAAGCAGCGAAGGCCTTATTGTTCTTCAAGGAATTTTAGTAGTATTATTATTTGCAACATTTTAGGAGTGTTCCCGTGGATGAAAACTCACCAATTTCTGCAGACACGTCAGGTCTGGTAAACTGTGGGCGGAGCAAAATGGCTCTATAGCGCCCCCTAAAAATGTTCAACCCCCCCCCCCGCCATTGGGGTTACTTTTGCGTAGGTGGACGAAATTCAGTMCACACCTTCGTCATGCCCAGACGCACAAAAAAAAATTCAGCCATGGGGGATTAAAGTTAGTATCATCTTTTCCAAAGGCTGAAGGGTGTGGGCGTGGCCAGGTGGCAAAGGTTGTGTGATGGCGTTTGTGGTTTGAAAGCTTTATCATCATCGCAAGGTCATGAAACTTGGCACACACATCCGCACTGAAGACCTCGTACGTATGTAAAGGGTATTGTGCGTGGGTGGAGCTGCGTCAGGTTCCGAGTTGCAAGTACTCGGCCCGCTCAGTGCTGCTTGCAGCCCTAGTTTTTAATTTGGGATACTGTTTGCCATAAATGTACTGTAAATGTCATAATTCTCCTCTTTAAAATGTGAAGTAACATTTCAATATCAAATTTCACACAGATAATGGATTGAATTAATATATAATCCTTAAAGGTGCAGTGTGTAAGATTTAGGTGAAAGGGATCTATTGGCAGAAATCCTCATGATATTTTCACTAGGTAGTCTAATCTAAATTGTATGAATTGTAGTTTTCTTTTTTTTGAAGGCCCTTTATATTTAAATACTTTATATTTGCATCGAGGGGACCCTCTCTACGGAGGCTGCCATGTTTTTTACATTAGTCCAGACTGGACAAACTAAACACCTTTTGAGTTTTTATGACAACTGAAGCTACAACAGGTTCTTTTTCATGTTTGGAAGGAGAGGGTGAGGTGAGGGGTGTTCAGCTGCAACATGCAACTTCAACACTATCACTAAATTCTACACACTGTTCCTTTAAATCGAGTTAAAAGTGACTGAATGGATACAGTGGTAAAATAAGTGAATGAGTCAAAGATCGTGCTTGTTTTCAGTGGTCCAGGTTCTGCAGCTGCACGTCACTGGGACAACTACTTCCACAGGAATAAGGGCGGGGCGAGTTTGAAGGAAGCCAATCTAAACCCTCCGTTTTCTACCATGTGACTCTAACCCCGGAATCACAACAACAGCTCCCACTTGTTGACAGTCGGCGGCAGAGAGCGGAGCGCGGCCCTGTCCTCTGCCCCTGGACTGTCACGATGTCGGCTCTGCTCCACGTGGCGCTGCCCTTCCTCTTCTGCGTGCTGGTGGCCAACACCGGCCTGTTCGACGGGGTGGCGGTGGACTTGTCTTACGATCATTACGCGGAGAGACGGGTGGAGTCTCTGCCGCCATTCCTGGCGATGCCGTGTAACTGTGTGGTGAACGTGTTGTACATCTGCATGGGTCTGTACTGGCTGAGGAGCAGAGAGGGGGAGGGGGAGCAGAGCCGCTACCTGAGACAAGTGTTCGCCCTCATGGCCATCCTGTACGCGCCTGTGCAGTGGACGCGCTTGGCGGTGCTGCGGCGCGCCCCCGCCGTGCTCGACCAGTGGTTCACGCTCCCGATCTTCGCGTGGGTTCCGGTGTGGATCGGCTTCATCGAGCGCGGCCCGGACAAGTGGCGCGCGTCTCACGCGGCCGCGCTAGAAGCGTGCTCGCTCCTCAGCTACGGCCTGACGCTGGTGCACGAGCTCGGCTTCGAGGTGGCGCTGGGCTGTCACGTGGCGCTCGCCGTGTTCATGGGAATGCGCGTGCAGCGGACGCACGGGGATCGTCGCACGGGCGCCTACCTGCAGCTGGCTGTGCTGTCGTGCGCGGGCTTCGTGCTGCTGAAGCTGCTGGATCACTGGCTCGCTCGGTACCGACTGTTCCAGCGCTTCACCGGACACTTCTGGTCCAAAGTGTGCGACGTGCTGCAGTTTCACTTCAGCTTCTGTTTCCTGAGCACACTGACGCACAGGGCGCAGGAGAGGAGCGCGGCGCGGAACCGCTGACGTTACTCATCCTAAAAGCATCATTCACCCGTCATTTCACTTTGCTGTCTGTCTGGGCCCCCAGCAACCGTTTCTATCTCTCTGTTAGGGAACAATCAAGCATCTTTCTATCTCTCTATTCTTGATCAATCAAGTATCTCTCTATCTATCCTTCTATTCTTGATCAATCAAGTATCTCTCTATCTTTCTATCTCTCTATTCTTGATCAATCAAGTATCTATCTATCTCTCTGTTCGGGATCAATCAAGTATCTACCTATCTATCTCTCTATTCTTTATCAATAAAGTATCTATCTATCTCTCTGTTCAGGGTCGATCAAGTATCTATCCATCTATCTCTCTGTTCAGGATCTATCTCTCTATTCGAGATCACCCAAGTAACTATCTAGAAGCACTGGACTTAATACGCACAAACATCCTCACACTTGTACATATTCCATATGACAAATGTCACAATCAAATCATATTGTGAACAATTTATTATTAAGATCAATGATGATTGTTACTTTTATTATTGCTGCTAATGATTACATTTTATTGAATCTTCCCTGTTCCTTTATGATTATTATGTAAACTCCGCACTACAGTGTGATAAAGATTAGAAAAGAATAAATCAAATGAAAAAAAAGAAAACGTCCTCCAGCAGACACTTTTCATTCATTGGGAGACCACTTCTAAAGTTCCACTGGAAAATGGCTGCAGGACAAACCAGAATCTCTGAAACTATAATCTCAGAGGATTTATTTATTGTTGAAATGTTAAAAATCATATAATCAGTCAATTCATGATCAAAATCATGACTAGTTGGAGTGATGTAGCACGTATAAAAGGGTCTGCTTTGAGTACTGGGTTAGCAGCAGCAGTTTACTGTTAATAACTTAGCTCAGAGTATTGAGGGGATTTCTTTCTCTAATATCCATTTAGTTGTTTAACTAAATGTGCAAAAATAACTAAAATGTTTGTTGCAGATGCTGCCATAGCTTCAGTGTAATTAAATGTTCCATACCTCACCGGCCATTGTGTGGTTGTCAGTCAGTGGTATACAGCACAATATAAGCTGTGTGATGTCATTTCTATAGCCAACAAAGTCTCCGAATGTATTCATAGCTTTGGCTGACAGTTCGTTACCATCTCTCTGTCTAATTAACTTTGTTTAGTCATTGCTGGAGGAGAGTGGCAGGGAGGAACTTGTTTATACATACTTGTATACATATATTTTATTAATAAATTTGAGATGATTCTTGGAACTGAGCTTTGACAATTACTTGCACGTCTACTTGAGTTTGGAGATTGTGATCACCAGGGAGTCAGCCAAGAGTGAGTCAGGACGCTGGTCCACTGGCTCTGGTACTCGTGTCCATGGCACTTGTTACTCAGCTTTGTAGGTTTGTGGGCAATAGTAAATAGGTGTGCATGTTTACATGGACTGCAAGGGTGGTGTAATGATAAATGGTGCTTGATCAAGTTTGGTGAGCCACCTGAGCCAAAGAATACCAGGGGTGAAAGCCAGGGCCAGTCCAGCCATGTTCACAGATGAAGAATATGGGGACTGAGAAAAGGACAGCCTCCTGTGTTTACATGCTAATGGCTGCCACTTCATTGGTTTAAAACAGTCACGTATGATTATTACTGTCTGTATATTTGTTTTATGTAGATTGATGCCTCTACATTCACACTTTGTTCAGTGTGGTCACGATGCGTCTCTGAACAGCCCCGGAGGTGTTATGTTTAATCAGATCACAATCTGTACTGTCACGTGGTCTATTTCTGTCTGTTTTCAATCCAATCACCTTACATGCATTTTAATGCAGGTGTAGAGGGGAGCTTGTTGAATACATCAGGCTTATGGGTACAGAAGAGCTCTATGGTCTCAACAGGGTCCCGGTGTGAAGACTTCATGACTTTTGGTAAAATGAACATTTCATGTGGCAAATCATTCACAAAATGTAACCAGAACATATTTTTCTTAACTTTTAGTTTTAAACAGTGGAAAAAAAAGAAATAGTGACTTTGACTATGATATATCATAAGGATAACATGCAAGTGTTTATGAAATGTCATTGTTGGGTTCTCCTCTTGAAATATACGACCCCCTCAGCCCTACAGCTCATGTTTAGTGATAGCAGTGAGCACGGGCTCTGACGGGGCTTTCCTGTTGGTCCAGAACAGGGCCAGGCCCGCCTCCCTGAAGTCCTGGTGGGAGCAGTAGATCAGAGGGTTCAGACTGCAGTCCAGGTATGACATCACCGATGACATTGTCCTTAACCAATCGGGTGCAGGCGACAGGTCCAGTCTTCCCAACAGGATCAGCTGATTGGTCAATGGAGAAAGAGAAAAACAATATGTGGAGGAGTGTTCAGTCTGTGGCTTTACCACATGTGCACCTGCAGATACAGCAGCTCCTGTGATGTTTCACCATGAGTGTAATCATCACCTCAGACACAACAAAGGGAGTGTAGCAGAGCACGTAGGAGGCCACCAGCAGAGGAGTGACTGCAGACAGGTCTGCTTCATCGTCACTGAGAGACAGAGGAGACAAGATGGCTTTACTCACACACACACACACACACACAAACAGAGCTTGCCAATTATAGCATAACATTATAAAGGGTCTATCACATAACATATCCCAGTTATTACCAAACAGGCCTACAGGGTGAAAATCCACCAAGCCACAATGACTTTTAATTGTTTAAAAGTCATAAAGCTCTGTCTAAACTCTCAAATTGACAACATAGACAATGTAAACAATCCCCAAAAGACTATAAATGACCAAAAAGGGCTTAAAGGACCCACAAAACTATTAAAAGGAATCTGAACATAACCACAAACCATAAAAACATGAGAAAGGAGAAAACAACCTCAAAAAGACTCAAAACAACCATAAACAATGAATATTGGCACAAAAAACTGTTGACAAAAAACTGTTAAAAGACAAACCAAATGCATATTTAATCCAAAGAAACACAAACTGACCAAGTATAGACACAAAACAATCACGTAGAGACTCAAAACAACCACAAAACTTCCAAAAAGAGATGCTAAACAACCACAAAGAGACATTATCACCACATTTATGGTACATACATCAGGTTAATATAAACAGGACTCATCCTTTAACATCTGTCCACTTCATGTTGCAAGGCTTTAACAACTCAATTACAGTTCTTGACTAAAATGTCTTCTGAGCAGTTTCTAGCTTGATCACTGGAAACAATCTTTAGTCAGGTGGTTCACCTGTTGCAGCTGGAGCCACAGCCTGTGGCACTCAGCAGGGAGCAGAACATGATGAGGAGGAAGGGGAGGAAGATACAGACGGAGAAAGCACAGAGAATGTAGACCAACATGTCTGAGTAGCTGCTCTCCCAGAAAACGGCACACAGCATCTCTGCACTGTCATACCTGGAGGAGAAAGAAGACATGGTGGAGATGAACAGAGCAGAGAGTAGGAGGTGTTATTAGACAAGGTGGTGTAAGACAGAGTGGTATCTGACATTAAAGTCACACATGAGTAAACCTTCAACTAACTGATATCCTCAATTCCCTGGATAAAGGTTATAAGATCTAATGTCAGTTTGACCTCACACTGGCACTGGTGTCACCATGATCAGTGCAGAGCAACAGGGTTTCTCATCGCGGAGGGTTTGCAAATGGAGATGTGATAGAGGCAGTCAATCAATCAGTCAGTCAGTCAACCAATCAATCAATCAATCAATCAGTCAATCAATCATATTGTGTTTGTATAGCCCATATTCACAAATCATAATTTGTGTCATATAGGGTTTCCCAAGGTGCAACTTCCTCTGCCATGAACCCCTCAGAAAGAGTAAGGAAAAAACATATATATACATATAGACATAGATGAAGGTAGCAGCAATGACAATTTTAATGATTGAGGTGATGTTGGCCTATGTAGCTTGGTATACAATATAGCTAAGCAATCTAGTTTTAATCATAATCCACTATTATCCACTATTACTATTATGTAATCATTCCTCTGCCCTCTACTATCGAGGGAGGATGATCCAGATGATGCCACAATTAGCCACTGGAAATGCTAACACCACTTTCTCACAGGATGTTATACTCTCGCCCAAGGGATATGTGATGACATCAGCAAATATTTAGGCTAAAAACATGGTGGGAACGATGTCATTTTGAGTTGAGTTTGAATGTTGGGGCCTGCGGACACTTGGATGACACCACACGAGCAGTATTGAGCATTTTCAGGGTTTTCTTTATGTTTAAAGTTGTAGTCCTCACTTACTTCAATTGTACTGTAAACGCTAAAGCAAAGTCTTTTACTTTAACCTTGTAGAATTTCATCTTCTGCTGTCACTTCAGACACCACCACCACCACAAACCACTTTTTCATCTCATATCAATAATGTACTTTATTCATGATCCTGACAATGTGTTTCGGGTGCTATGAGAAAAACAGCAAACGACAAACCTGATCCAGGCGTAGATGACAGGGACGCTTCCAAACACCAGTCCCGTCACCCAAGAAGCTGAGCACGCTGCCACCATGACAACAAAGAGAACACTTCCTGTGGAGGCCCTGCCGATCAGCCGCTGCACACAGAGGATAGCTGTAGATGAGAATAGAAAACCTCACACGGACTGCATCAGAGCAAACAACAACTGTTATAGCTGCTCTACTACACTGCTACATCAAGTATAAATTAGAACAACCTGAACTTAATCAACATTTCAATTGTCTGCTGCTTTTTGCTCCTGCAACATCTTGGCTCACCTCTATCTACATTAACAGATATGTTTTACATCTGAATTAAAAAATCTAAACAGTCCCTTTGAATGGAGAGCATGATCCAGTGGTCTCTATGAGTGTGTGCGTAGAGCGATGTGGTACCTATGCTCCCTATGGAGGAGGTGATGAAGGCAAACTTCAGCAGACTGACGACCTCGCACCATGGTGACCTCTGACCTCCTGTCAGCAGGGCCAGCAGGGAGCCGGAGATGATGAGAAGGGAGCAGCCTTCACAACACAGGGACTCATTATCAGAAATGTCAACTTCCTGAAATGTAAATCCTTGTGATCAATCTGCTACAATACTAGAATCAGTTGGAGTAACGAGGTACAGTGAGATACACCAAGGAAGAAAGTGACAACATATATTCCTGTACCACACGTGTGTTGGTGTCAGTGTGAGTTGTACCTAAATCTGACAAAGTGAGGCTGATGAAAGGAAGCCAATAACGGCAGCAGAACTGACCCTTGCACTGAAAGTGAAAGAGTTAGAATGAAGTTCACACTAAAATGAGTGATCACCCAAAACCAAAACCTCCAGGTTGTCTTTTAACTAACATTAATAAACAGCCTTACCATGACTTTAACAAGCAGAACAAGACAGTTTCCCACAATTCCCATGACCATCTCCAGTCCCAACATGGCCACCAGCAGCCACTTCTCTTCCTCTGGCCACAGATATTCCATGAACACGGTCCCATTCAACCATTCAGCCACTGAGAGACACAACAAAGCAGAGTTTATGATCAAGGAACTCTGTGTAAACCTGGGAGCTGGTAACTTTGGCTGAGGGTTTAACAAGATGGTCCTTATGGTCTGTGATGCCAGGAATAGAAATAGGGAACTGTTTTCACACATTGATGATAATAAGTAAACAATGCATTTTAAATATAATGATTAATGGCGACTTTTAGGAGGTGTAAAGTTACTCTTCTAGTTATAATACCTTGACTTAATCTTTAAATATTTTGGGATGTTAATTAAAAATGCCAGGCGTCTTTACTCTTGTTTCATTTTGTTGAGTCATCGATTTCACAGTTGCATGTCATTTAATGTCTTCTGTTCTCATAATGTCCCACAGAACAAGAGTAAAATTAAAAAAGAATTAGATCTAAGTACTCAAAACAATATAACTGACAAAACAAATAAATGAAACACATTTGGAAATGGAAAGTGTGAAAAAAAATGAATCACTACATCTATCTATACAATTTAAAATACTGTTAAACAGTGGAAGAATAAAAAGCAAACCCACAACTGCACAGTAATGGATGGTGTGACACAAGAACAGAGCTGTGTTTTAGCTGACACTGATGCAGTATATGATGTCACTATGATATCTCACCTGTCTTTGTCTTACAGTGTAAAGACTCACAGCAGTTTATTTTTGCATTGAAAGACAATGTCACAACAACATGTCAAAGTCAATCCAAAAAGATTTGA